CCAGATACACCGGGGCTCCGGCGCCGACCCGCTCGGCATAGTTTCCCTTGCGCAGCAGCCGGTGGACACGGCCCACAGGGAACTGCAGCCCGGCCCTGGAAGAGCGAGTCTTGGCCTTGGCTCTGGCCTTACCGCCGGTCTTTCCTCTGCCGCTCATCTTGTGTGTTTTTCAGCTGCTCAACGAAAACTCCCAGCAATAAAAAAAATAGTGTGCTGCAGCCGCGCTTTTCAAGAGTCACGGCTCGCTTTGATTGGTGCAGCCGGAAGAAGTTTTCTAGCCAATTGCGAAGCAGTGTCTCAGCTTTCCTGCTTTCCGGTGTCACCAATCAGCAGGCAGCAGCGAAATTCGGAAATTTGAAGGGAGTTTCAGGGGATTTCACCGTCCCTACTGGGACTCGTCGTGCTTTAATATAAATATTCATAAATGACCTGTGACTGGAGGGTATGAAGACACGAAATTGCGTTGTCAAACCCCCTAATGTAAATGAAGAGCCACAGTCCTAATGCCCCAGTATAGTGCCAAAGACACTATATTGTAAACAGGCGCCGTCCATTGGATGAGACGTAAAACCGAGGTCCTGATTCTCTCTGGTCATTACAAATCCCAGGGAGCTTCTCGAAAATAGTAGGGCTGTAACCCCAGTGTCCTGGCCTAATTTCCCATTGCCCCTTACCAATAATCCTCCTATGAATTAATCCCCATCTGTGAATTGGCTTCATTACTCTGCTCTCCTCCCCACTTAGAGCTGATGTGTGGTGAGCGTTCTGGTGCACTATGGCTGCCGTCGTATCATACAGATGGGGCTGCACACTGGGGGTGGTGGAGGGGATCCCCATTACCTGTAAAGTGCTTTGAGTGGAGTTTCCAGAAAAGCGGTATATAAGTGTAAGCAATTATTATTATTATTATTATTATTATTACCATTTCCAAATCAGGAAGTAATTGTAATTGTGTCTTATCTTGTGTATTATTCTTATTTATTGTTGTAGTCTTCTTATGTATTGTTATTGTCATCCTGTAAAGCGTTTGGAGAAGCCACCTTTAAAGGCGCTATATAAAATAAAGTTTATTATTTATTATTATTACTGGCTGTACAAGAGAGGTTCATGACCCAGAGAACCAGTTTCAATCCAGTTTAATTGTTTCTTCTATTTTCTCCTATATCAGGAAAAAAAACACCTATCCATTTACACGCATTACCCTCTGATAATTAATTATAGAAATGATAACCAGTGAGTAATTAATGTAAATTACAATTCACCTATAGGTGGGGAGTAAAATAGAACCCAGCAGGCACGGACTTAATAAAGAATAAAACATACAAATAGCTTAAAAGCAGTTATAACTCTCAAACCTGAATCACAGAATAGAAAGGCTATGGAATGACTTTGAATAAAGGCTAATTCTACTTTCATAAGCTTCAAAGACCTCACCAAACTCTCCACACGGGAGAATTGTCAGAATCAGAAAATGGAGATTTCCACAACGAAGCACGAAGCAGAGGCCATTTAAAACAGAAAATAGTTGTCTTCTTTACACAAAGGGCTGCAGGAGTATGGAACGAGCTGCATAGTAATGCCCTTGAGGTTTGTGTCTGGGCTCCTCCCACATTGGTTATTTCACTAATAACAACTAAAAGGGCTTGACCAGCCAAAGAGCCCCCTCTCAGTTGTAACGCCTTTTAAATTTTACATTCTTATGAGATGCAGAAGCGTCCATTTCCGAACAAGAGCGTGCAACAGGACGGTCAACAATACGACATCACTACAAAGAAGAAAAAAAGAGGGAGATTTTTAGAATAAAACGAATTTATCGTTGACCCCGGAAGAAGGCTTAACAACCAAAACGTGTATTTCTTTGTACTTTTCAGCGTGGCATAAGCCTTTTTGGCATTATTTCATGAAGGTGGGGAGCTGCGTCAGCATGCGTAGGCTGCAAGGGAACAAGTAATAGGTTTATCCCATGCTGAAAAAAAGAAGAAAGAGAACACAACGTTTCGGCTGTGGAGCCTTCTTCAGGTGGCTATTTTCTATTTTCTGTTTTGACACCTGAAGAAGGCTCCACGGCCGAAACGTTGTGTCCTCTTTCTTCTTTTTTTCAGCATGGAATAAACCTATTACTTGTTCCCTTGCATTATTTCATGAAGTCAATATTCAAATTAAATGACCACTAGATGGAGACGTTTAGTCATGTGCCTGAAGAGGTCTGATTTAACTTGAACCCGGGTTGTTGGGCCAGACTGACGTGAAACAGACTCTGTGTGTCCTTGAAATGGTCAATTTAAAAAAAGAAATAAATGTCATATTGATTTGACAAGAATGTGCAGTGGAGTGGACCTGTGCTCGGTTGTGAAGCAATACTATAGAGAACTCAGTTGCCACTTCAATTGCTCTCATTAATCCTGACAATTGTTATACAGTACATCTTGCTGGGAACCAATGCTTACAGAGATCAATAATGTGAACATGATTGACAGAACATAGTAAAGTAATTTGTGGAAAAATATTCTGTGTGCCCATAACATATATGCCGTGGGACAGATCCCATGTGTAAAGTGGTTGCATATCAATTTCAGAAATTATTATTCTGTAGCGTTCAGTCAGTCAGTGTTGCTGTGCTGTAGTGTCCAGTCAGTCA